GCAGAATGCCATACCTCCGGCCAGGACTCCACACACCAATGCGTGCCAAGTATGGCACCAAAACCCAACGACCCCGCCGCATCTGTGAACAGATGGAGCACCGAGTTCAGGACCTCCAGCTGCTGCCAGAAGGACCGCCCATTGTAACCGTCAAAGAAAGTACCCCATACTGTCAGGTCGTCCAGGAGCGCCCGAGTTATGCGCACAAAATGGTATGGCCTCGTAATCCCCGCTGTAGCCAAGCGGCGATTGAAAACTCTGCCCATCGGCATCACCCAGCACGCAAAGTTCAATTTGCCCAAGAGCGACTGCGTCATTTTTCACAGGGCCTTAGCCTCCTGAACTGCCCTTCGCATATCCCGCACCTTATCCAAGGGCAGACGGCACTCCCCATGTATCGATCCCGAGGAAACTCAAACAAGTTTATGGGAATTATATGTATGGTTTGGAAGTTATGAATATTGTATAAAACTGCTTATTTTCCTGCCTGTGATAATTAAGTTAACCCATTGTGTACAGTAATTATATCACAGGCAAAGGGGAGGGTTTGTGTGCCTTGGCTGGGAGTGTCTGACTGTTTTGATTGGCTATTGTAACTGCATGTCCTGTATACCACAAGGTCCATGCGGGTGGTAACCTTGTGGGACAACCTGCATAAAAAAAAGTCCTTTGGTGCTCATTAAACAGATCTACTTGACCCTCAACTCACATCTTTGACTCGTGTTTGGAGGGGACAGCTGTAATCACTACAGGGATTGTTATGCTCTTCATACTACCTTAGCTAATGAGCTCTTGTTCCTGATCCTGCTTTGCTCTACGGAAGGAAGAGGTTCACTCACTGGAACCTGGAGCCTAGTCATAGCAGATGGTGAGATCCCAGCCCAGCAGCAGCGGTTCGCGAAGTCTGTAGCACTTATGGTGTCTGTGGTGCTGATGGTCCTTTGGTAAACGGTTCAACTTTCAGCTAGCTTGGAGGCAACCGTAACACTAAACTTCCCTGGTTCTTTTTTGGGCACCACGCCGAAGGGCAAAACCCCGGAGACTTTGCAATGGTGGCTTCGTGAAGCGGCCCGCCATGCGTCCCAGGGACACCTTCTTCTCAAGTTTTTCCCGCATCACCGCCGTCATCTTTGCCCTTAGTCCTCACGGCATTCCCTTTGTCACCAGGCCTGCTCCTCTTAAAGCAGCTGGAAGCAGGATGGGACCCTACGCACCCCGAGCACTCATGCTTAAATTTACAACCAATGCCGAACTTGCATTGGTTGTCATTGTACTGCCAACAGCAACCCGTTTGGCGCTGACTAGCCGACGCGGCAGGCTGTAGCGGAGAGGCAGTATAATCCACGATATCTCCGCTGGGTAACAGGAACAACAAAGGATAATCCAGGGAATCAGCATACAATAATCCAGACAGCACTGCAGTAACCCTTCCTTCCCAAGAACTAGACGACACATAGGCTGGGAGTCAACTGAGGTCTTTTAATTCAGCTCCACAATTTATACAAGTCCCCATGCAAGGGGTTTCCTGAGTCCCCTCCCAGGGACATTCCCAGAGGGGACTACATGGGGGACTTACAAAACAAGACATTTTTCCCATCAGGCACCGCTGCACGAGAGGGATCCTCCCACTGGAATATACCGTTAAGTGGATTATCTCTCCGTGCAGCAGAGCTTACATTTCACATTAAATTCAATAATTCCGTGAATATCTGGTTCATTTAAACGAATGGACGTTCGGTAGATAGCTGGGGTCTGAGCGCATCATTCGTGAGATTACCGCTCAGATCCCAGCTAAAATAACCGAACGCCGCACGAAAAACACATTCACTAACACATAGCCTTAAAATGTCGATTACATATAGTGAAACAAAATACCGAATGTCCCGGACCTCCCGAACGGTCTGGAGGCTCAGCGGTGTTCGCGCCGTCGAGTAGCCGTTTTTAGTTCCACACGCTCGACGACCAAACACCGCTGAGGGAACAAAGGATCCAAGATGGCCACCCGCCGCATGGTCGGTAGTCGAACGACGGCCACCCAGGAGAGCCTCTAATTACCGATTGCAACATTGTTGCAATCGGTTAATAGGTGCCACACGCCTCTAAGTGTGTGGGCTATAAAATGATATGTTGTTCGGTTCCCGAACGGCCCGCAAAGGTGCCGTTCGTGAAATGAAAGGAACTAGCTATCTGCGGTCGGCAGATAGCCCAGGCAGGAAATACATCATTAACATTGCATTACAGTACACGCTCTAACACACAAAAGGAACCCCATACCGGCAACCCTTAAAGAGACAGTACAAAATAATGTCCAAGTGGCTAGGTTTGCCACAATGCTCCCCCAGAACCAAGCCGGCATACACAGTCTGATCCCAACGGATCGGCTTGGGGATGTCCGGAGGAGTACTCACGAATCACGGCTCCAAGTCTGTTTGTCTAGACAACCCGTCGGCATTGCCATTTTGCTTCCCAGGGCGGTAGTGGATAGTAAAGTCAAAAGGCTGCAGCGCCAAACTCCAGCGCAGCAGCCTGGCATTGTCTCCGGACACCCTGTTCAGCCACACCAACGGGTTGTGATCCGTGAGTAAAGTGAAGGGTTGTCCGTATAAGTAGGGTTGCAACTTTTTGAGGGCCCACACCACAGACAGGCACTCCTTTTCAATGGCGGCGTAGCTTACTTCCCTGGGTAAAAGTTTTCGGCTTAGATAAGCTACGGGGTGCTCGCCGCCATCGGGTCCAACTTGGCTCAGTACTGCTCCCAATCCAAACATAGAAGCGTCTGTGTGGACGAGAAAGCGTTTAGTTGGATCAGGAGCAGAAAGTACAGGAGCGTTAACAAGTGCCGTCTTGAGCTGTTGAAACGCCTGCTCACACTCTGGGGCCCAGACTACTAACTTAGGGAGATTCTTGCGGGTCAGGTCTGTGAGGGGTTTGGCAAGGGCGCTATAGTTGGCCACAAATTTCCGGTAGTACCCGGCGGTCCCTTAAAAGGCGAGCACTTGGGTCTTGGTGCGAGGGGTAGGCCATTGGGCGACTGCCTCTATTTTAGCAGGTTCGGGTTTCTGTTGCCCACTCCCTACCCGGTGCCCTAGGTACTGGACTTCCACCATACCGATATGGCATTTGCTGGGTTTTAGGGTCAGTCTGGCCTCTCGGATTCGGTCTAGAATGGCTCCTATGTGAACCAGATGTTCGTGCCAGGAGTGGCTGAAGATGGCGATATCATCTAGATACGCGCAGGCATACTCCTGGAACCCATCTAATAATCTGTCTACCATTCTCTGAAAGGTAGCTGGGGCGTTTTTCATCCCGAATGGCATGACCTTAAACTGATACAGGCCAAACGGGGTGACAAAGGCCGATTTAGGGATGGCGTCCTCCGCTAATGGAATCTGCCAGTACCCTTTGCACAGGTCTATAGTGGTTAGGTACTGGCCCCTGGCCATTTTGTCGAGGAGTTCGTCTATCCGGGGCATGGGATATGCGTCAGAGGTCGTTTTATCGTTGAGCCGTCTGTAGTCTACGCAGAAACGGGTCGTCCCGTCCCATTTCGGCACCAGTACTACCGGGGAGGCCCAGGGGCTGTCCGAGTGCTCTATCACTCCTAACTGAATCATCTCCTCAATTTCCTTGCGCATACTTTCTTTGACTGCTTCTGGAGTGCGATATGGGGGTTGGCGCAGGGGAGTCTGATTTAAAGTTTCTACCTTATGGGTAGCCAAAGGGGTATAGCCTGGTAAATTGGAAAACATGGCCTTCTTTTCCTGAAGCAACCTTTGTACCTGAGCCCGCTCTTGGGCATTTAATCGTTCTCCTAACTGTACCTCTCCCAGATCTCCGCTCTGGCCCTCTCGGTCTAGGAGATCGGGTAGGGGTAGGTTGTCAAAATCTTCCGTGGCAGGGGCACAGATTGCGGTGACCTCCTCAGTACGTTCGTGGTATGGCTTGAGCATGTTCACATGGAGCATGCGTTTGCTGCCCATGCCTGTAACCGGGCCGATCACATAGGTGGTGTCACAGATCTGTTCCATTACCTTATATGGGCCCTGCCAGGAAGCCTGCAGCTTATCTTTGTGGACTGGTCGCAAGATTAGTACTTTTTGCCCCACCTGAAAGCTGCGGTCCCTGGCTCCCTTATCGTACCATCTACGCTGTCGCTGCTGCGCTACCTGGAGATTGTCTCGGACGGTCTGGGTCAGCCTCTCCAGGCGTTCCCTGAACTCGAGCACATATGGTAAGATAGGGGTGCCATTAATGGTTTTGTCTCCCTCCCAGTGTTCCCGTATCAAGTCAAGAGGTCCCCTCACTCTCCTCCCGAATAATAATTCGAACGGAGAGAATCCGGTGGATTCTTGCGGCACTTCTCGATACGCGAACAGCAGGTGGGGTAAAAACCTCTCCCAGTCTTTTTGGGTGTCCATGAACGTGCGGATCATTTGTTTCAGGGTTCCGTTAAACCGTTCACAGAGCCCATTGGACTGGGGGTGATATGGGGAGTTCAGGATTTGCTGTATCCCACATATCTTCCAGAGCTGATGGGTCACTTCAGCAGTAAACTGGGTGCCTCTATCGGAGATAATCTCCCGGGGAAATCCTACACGGGTGAATATTCTCATCAGGGCCTCTGCTACCGTTTCTGCGTGTACGTTAGTTAAGGCCACTGCCTCGGGGTACCTGGTGGCGTAATCCACCACGGTTAGGACATACTTCTTGCCGGAGGGGCTTGGTTTTGCGAGGGGACCTATGATGTCTACTGCCACCCTACTGAATGGTTCTTCAATGATGGGCAGAGACCGTAGTCGTGCTTTGTATCTGTCCCCTCTCTTGCCTACCCTTTGGCAGGTATCACAGGTCTGGCAATATCACCTAACATCCTGGGAAATACCTGGCCAAAATAAATTTTGGGTCAGCCTGTGCTTGGTACGACTGATGCCTAGGTGTCCAGACAGGGGGATATCATGGGCTATGCGTAACAGCTCTAACCTATATTTTTGAGGCACTATTAGCTGTTTAATGGGTAACGGTATTGACCCGGACACTACCTTCTCTGCGTGCCGGTATAGTAGTCCTTTGTCCCAGATATATCTTTCCCCCTCTAACCCTGCTTGATCTTTATCAATGCGGTCTTTATATACCTGTAACGAGGGATCTAGGGCCACTTCTGACCCAAACTCTATAGAATTGGCCCATGGCATGACAGGGGGTAGGGGAGGGTCATTGCTTACCTGAGCCTCAGAGTGATCGGATGGCGCTGTGGTGCGGGCCTGTTGTCGGGTCACAACCGGGTATGCTTCTTGTATGGTGGGCTGTGGAACAAAAGCTGAAGTCAGCTCCCCCAAGTCGTTGCCCAAAATCACATCCGCTGGCAAGTCTTGCATCATCCCCACATATACATTCCCGTGCCCCACTCCCCAATTCAAGTGCACCTTGGCCGCTGGTACTTTGTAAATGGCTCCCCCGGCCACCCGCACAGCCACACAGTCCCCCGTGAGCTTGGGCTTTGGTACCAGATGACTTCGTACTAGGGTTAGGGTGGCCCCAGAGTCACGAAGTCCTTGTACTTTCCTCCCCTCCATGTGGACTTCCTGGCGGTGCCCTTGGCGGTTATCGGAGGCGGCCTGGATGGGGTTCACCTCGTGTAGGGTGCCGAGAGGTTCCTCCCGGGTTGTCCCCAGCTCCAGATTCTGGTAGGATTCGGCCTGTAGACAGTGGACTGCGGCACGGTTGCTTGGGGCTGCGTTATTCCAGCTGGGTCGAGGCCGGTTCCGTGGGCAGTCTCTCTGAATGTGCCCCTGTTGGTTGCAGGTATGGCACCAGATTGGTGGACGTGCTGAATACCTGGGGGGGTAGGAATTCTGGCTTACCCCTGGTCGCTGGTGAGTTGCGGGGCCCCCTGGAGTGCTGGTTGTTGCAGGGGGGATGACGGCTCTGGTTGGTACAGGTTGATCTCTCCGATTGTCCTGGAACTCGTCTGCCATATTAGCCGCTTCCTGCAGGGTGTGTGGCTTTCTGTCCCGAATCCAGTTTTGCAGATAGGCCGGGACGCCATTGAAGAATTGCTCCAGTACCATTAGCTGGAACAGACCCTCCAATGTATCAACTTGGGCGGCCTCCAGCCACCCCTTTGCAGCTCGTTGCAGCTGGTGCACCCATTCCACATGGGTGTCTTTAGTGGGTTTCTTAATGTCCCGAAACTTCTTTCGGTATGCCTCTGATGTGATGGCATACCGGGCTAGAATGGCCCGTTTCACTTTATTGTAGTCCCTACTATCCTCGTCTGGTACTGCCCGGTACGCTTCAGCGGCTCGCCCAGATAATCTCCCCGCTAGTAGGGGTACTCTGTCTGCATCGTTAATCTCATGCAGCAAACACAGTCTCTCGAAGTCCTGTAAATAGTCGTCAACGCCACCATCCGCCTCCACGTAGCTTTTGAAGGCTTGATATGGGATTTTAGCTTTCCCTGGGAAAATATGGACTGGCGTTGCGGCTCTTTCCCCGGCTTGCTGGTTCCCTTGCGGTCTCCTAGCCATAATATACTCCTGTACATCACCAAAAAGCCTGCCAACCATCTCTGCAGATGGGGGTTCCGGGAATAAAGCCATTCGTGCTCGGAATTCGGCTGTAAATTCGTGGGTTTCTCCCTCCATTTGAGGTGCTGCAGCAGCTGCGGCTCTGTCTCCTTCCATGAGCTCTGTAATTAGGACAGCCTTTGCCTTGTTACTGGCGATTGCTCCTCTTGCTTCCAGCAGCTCCTTTAATGTGCTCCGTTTTAGCAGGGCGTAATTTGTTCCCATTCACCGACTGTTCGTGAGGTTTATTCGAATGCGCTAATTCCCGAATGGCTGTTCCTTGATTCGTTTAAAAATCTGCCGAACGTTGCTTTGCTGTGTGAATTCAATCCCGTCGCTTGCCACCAATTGTAGCGGAGAGGCAGTATAATCCACAATATCTCCGCTGGGTAACAGGAACAACAAAGGATAATCCAGGGAATCAGCATACAATAATCCAGACAGCACTGCAGTAACCCTTCCTTCCCAAGATCTAGACGACACATAGGCTGGGAGTCAACTGAGGTCTTTAATTCAGCTCCACAATTTATACAAGTCCCCATGCAAGGGGTTTCCTGAGTCCCCTCCCAGGGGCATTCCCAGAAGGGACTACATGGGGGACTTACAAAACAAGACATTTTTCCCATCAGGCACTGCTGCACGAGAGGGATCCTCCCACTGGAATATACCGTTAAGTGGATTATCCCTCCGTGCAGCAGAACTTACATTTCACATTAAATTCAATAATTCCATGAATATCTGGTTCATTTAAACGAATGGACGTTCGGTAGATAGCTGGGGTCTGAGCGCATCATTCGTGAGATTACCGCTCAGATCCCAGCTAAAATAACCGAACGCCGCACGAAAAACACATTCACTAACACATAGCCTTAAAATGCCGATTACATATAGTGAAACAAAATACCGAATGTCCCAGACCTCCCGAACGGTCTGGAGGCTCAGCGGTGTTCGCGCCGTCGAGTAGCCGTTTTTAGTTCCACGCGCTCGACGACCAAACACCGCTGCGGGATCAAAGGATCCAAGATGGCCGCCCGCCGCATGGTCGGTAGTCGAACGACGGCCACCCAGGAGAGCCTCTAATTACCGATTGCAACCACTTTATAGCCCTCTAAGTGTGTGGGCTATAAAATGATATGTTGTTCGGTTCCCGAGCGGCCCGCAAAAGGTGCCGTTCGTGAAACGAAAGGAATTAGCTATCTGCGGTCGGCAGATAGCCCAGGCAGGCAATACAGTATTAACATTGCATTACAGTACACGCTATAACACACAAAAGGAACCCCATACCGGCAACCCTTAAAGAGACAGTACAAAATAATGTCCAAGTGGCTAGGTTTGCCACAATGGTAAAACATAATTGATAGACATGGGGAGAGTTTAGAAAGGAGAAGGGTGAAATAAGATTGTAGATGTAACAGACTGCTATTACATCTACGTTTTGAGATATTGAACTTTGCCCTTTGCCCTGTCATGTGAGGAGGAAGGGCTAGGATGGCAGGAAGAAGAGGACAGGGGAGAAGCCATGTTCTCTGAGTCTGCTTAAAGAAAGTGTGTCCCTACCTGTTTTAATGGTCTATTACTGCTGGGAGAGTGAGCTAAAAACAAGGGAAGGCTAGTGCACTGCTACTACAAGAGGTTGGAGACTGTCCACTGCTCTGCTAGAAGAATTAGAAGACTTGTTATTTTAAGTTCAAATCCCTGCAGATTCTGGAACTTTCTGCAGGAGTGTGAATGAGCTCTTGCATCCTGTCAGCAGAAGGCAGAGAAAGGATTACCATTGCTGTTCTGCTGCTGTCCTACATTCTGCTGGATCTCTCTGGAAAAATCTGCTGTTACAGAAGTCACTCAAAAGTACTGTCTCCAGAGATTGCTTCAGGATTCTCCCTTATAACTGTATCTGGGTAGCGCTACCTACACCTAAGGGCCCCAACGTTGTGCACATAAATTACCGGCAGGTACCTAGGAGTTTAACTGTTCAGATGTAGTTATTGATGTTATTAAGAGAAGTTTGTTATCTGCATTCCCGCTGCTAAAGACTTTTGTGACGGTATCAGGGACTTTATCATCATTTAACATTAGCCAGGAACTGCATTGTTATTTCTGCTGTTATATGTCTATCTATTTAACCACAATACAGTGTGTATGTCTATGTCTGTAGTTATTTCATGTCTCTGAGTTATTAAGTGGAGGGGGCTCATCTACTCAGTGGGGTGGGTTCCCCATAAATAGAAGTTGCTCTGAGTGGAGGCACTGTGTCTGAACAAGATGTCCCGATATCCCAACTATAACGGAGGCTCGGGATCCCTGTCAGCGACAGAAGAAGGTGTAACTGCTGCTAGCTACGGCTTGTTGCCAAGAGCAGGGCAAAAAATGGTTACATATATATGAAATAAACATAAATAAAAGTTTAAAGGAACTGTATAGGTAGAAAAATGCATATCCTGCCCCCTCCCCCCCAACAGTAAACCTAGTGTTACTGAATGTTTTTTCCCCTAAATAGTGTAAAAATGTGTTTTAGAAGTACCTGTTTTAATCTTTAATTTGATCAGATTGTCTGCCCCTCCTCTGATTTCATGTCATATCTCCCTGCTTCCTGTATTTTAGCCAGATTGTCCACCAATGGCCATGCTCCAGTGATTCTCTATGAGAATCAGTAATGACACTCCCACACAATCCACCAATGGCCATGCTCCAGTGAGAATCAGTAATGACACACCCACAATGGCTGTCCACCAATGGCCATACTCCAGTGATTCTCTATGAGAATCAGTAATGCCACACCCACAATGGCTGTCCACCAATGGCCATGCTCCAGTGATTCTCTATGAGAATCAGTAATGCCACGCCCACAATGACAGTCCACCAATGGCCATGCTCCAGTGATTCTCTATGAGAATCAGTAATGACACACCCACAATGGCTATCCACCAATGGACATTCTCCAGTGATTCTCTATGAGAATCAGTAACGACACGCCCACAATGGATGTCCACCAATGGACATTCTCCAGTGATTCTCTATGAGAATCTGTAATGACACTCCCACAATGGCTGTCCACCAATGGCCATGCTCCGGTGATTCTCTATGAGAATCAGTAATGACATGCCCACAATGACAGTCCACCAATGGCCATGCTCCAGTGATTCTCTATGAGAATCAGTAATGACACACCCAAAATGACAATCCACCAATGGCCATGCTCCAGTGATTCTCTATGAGAATCAGTAATGACACTCCCACAATGACAGTCCAATGGCCATTCTCCTGTGATTCTCTATGAGAATCAGTAATGCCACGCCCACAATGACAGTCCACCAATGGCCATGCTCCAGTGATTCTCTATGAGAATCAGTAATGCCACTCCCACAATGTCTGTCCACCAATGGCCATGCTCCAGTAATTCTCTATGAGATTCAGTAATGACACTCCCACAATGACAGTCCACCAATGGCCATGCTCCAGTGATTCTCTATGAGAATTAGTAACAACACGCCCACAATGGCTGTCCACCAATGGCCATGCGCCAGGGATTCTCTATCAGAATCAGTAATGACACGCCTTACTAGGCATGTCCGAGTTTCACTAGTCAGTCCTTGCAGGAATTTTAATTTCTTTTAAAATGAAAAGGCAGTGTTTATATTGCAACCTAGTTACACTTCTGGTAGCAGTCACTTGTTTTCCTGACACTACACTTTTCCTTTAAGGAGAAGAAAGAGGACAGAAATAGGTTTATAGAAGGGG